AGAGTGTATCCTTTCGGGTGTAACCCTGGAATTTGGTTTTGCTTCCTGTGTTCGTAAGTAATTTCAGAATTTATTTTCACAAAGTCTTTGTAATTTTATGGAGTGGGCCTGGAGCACATTTGGTGAAATGTGCTCTAATCTGAGGTTGGTGGCTTGCTCAGTAGTTAGAAAATAAGCAGCAGTAATTAGCCGAGAGTTCACTCAGCAATTCATCGCCCATGTTAATATTTGATGTGCTGCCTAGGACTGACTAGGAGAAGCAATCGCGTATACAGAAAGTGCTTTTCCTAAGGTGCTGCTGAGGGGGCCTTGCATGTGTCAAGTTAATAGATTTTATGTAAAACTCGGAGGTTGGGGCACAGAGCAGTGTTTTCTGCCATGCGTGAGTTCACGGGGTGGCTCAGTGCAGAGCTGTAGGAGCCCCTGGCGCCTGCAAATACCCTTCTGCCTGACACCGGGCAATATTACCAGCACTTGGGCCTTTCTCCAGCTGTCTTTGATCTCTCTGCTAACTATCGATGTGATGTTGGTCCCAGATCTCTGCTGGGCCTGAGGGATTTTCTGCATTAAAGTGATTATATTCTAATGAAAAGCTACCATTTTAGCACTTTTAAATACAACCCCCCAAACAATCTATGGAAATACTGTATACAAAAAAAGTGCCTGTTTGAGTTTTCTTTGAAAATACTTTTATTCAGATGAGTTTCCATGGTGTTATTCTAGTACTAGAGAAGATGAGCAGGATCTTGCTCTGTCATGTTGTTGTTGTGAAGACCCTGCCAAATGGCCTGTGGGCAGAGCCGGCCTGACAGTTGTCTCCTTTTCCCTGGGATCCAAGGCTCCGAGACCCGCTCAAGCACCAGTGATACCTGGCAAAGGGCTGCGGGTAAAACGGGATGAGCTGGCTGGCAGGGCGCGGGGGGACTGGAGCCGTGCTCTTCCTGAAGCAGGTGCATACTGGCATTTCATCCACAACTTCAAGTAGGATTTTGCAGCAAGATGTTCAGCTACGTTCCCTTCATATTGCAAAAATCTTTATTCCTCTTCAGAATTAATTAGAGAACTTCCATGATCTCTTGGTTAAGACACTCAGATGCAGTCATTTGAAAGGTGCCTGAAAAGCAAAGCCGTGGATCGTGCTGCTGCTTTCCTTTCTTGTAGACAGGAAAAACCTTTGCTGGGGTAAGATCTGCCCTGTCATGCCTGGGACAACCACTCCAAAAGGATGATCCATATTGGTGGCAGCATTTGAGTGCTGCAGAAGTTTTCCTGCCAGTGTTAAGCAATTGCCTGATGGACAAGTTTTTAGAAATGGCCTGGTGGGGTGTCAGAACATTTTGGGTGCAAGATGATGGTCTCAGACCATGAAATGTAGCTTTATTATAAAAAAAAGTCTATTTTAAAAATTTTATTTTATTTTTTCTTAGCTATAGTTCTTCTAGGACACTCTAGAGAGCAAGAGGCAAGTACCTAGTAGTAATTAAATGACTATTTCTAGCATAGAAGCTGACTTTTTATTGGCATAACTGTCCTCAGCTAAGAGAGACCCAGGATAATTTACTCTCTCTCTTCTGCATGTTTGTTATGTAGGAGATGGGGACTGAGTATCAGTTAGGCCAGTGGTAGGTGTGTTTATTCTTTATTATTATAACGTAGAAATCCATTTTATGGTTTTAACTATGAGCTAAGCCAAGAAGAAGAACCAAGAGTATAAGAAAATGGTGCAGTTGCTTTTTAGTACCATGAAGAATCAGGAATTCAAGATAATACTAAAAACAAAATATATCTTCATGCTGGCGAGGATCCTCCTCTTCTATATAAATATGCAATTAATAATTTAGTATTTTGATTTGGAAGCTAATCTTGCTTGTACCTAAGTACAAGTGGGTACCTCAGTACCCACTGAGTTGTTCAAATATCATCATTTTAATGTAGATACAGAGATGCAAAGACATTTAGAAAAGCATAGTGAGGAGAATAGATGATAGATGTTAGATTCAGGCAAGTACAGATTTTAAAATATATATTTCCAAACAATACAAGAAAAGACATATTTATAGGAAAAGCCTTTCAAGACTTAAGAAAAACTGAAGGTGTCATAGAAAAAAATGGTAGCTGCAATGGGATTGATGCAGTATAGCTTTTTTTAATAAAAGTGTTTATACAGAGAAAGTTGACAAAAGGTGAGGTTTAGCTTTCATTCACCAGTTTGTAGCATGAGGAAGTTGTCAGACCCAAATCTGTGGAACAATAAACTATCAAAAATAGATTGTGAAAGTAATTAATATAAGCTTTACTTTAGATGTTTAAGGAAACCCTAAATATCCCAAGTTCTATGCATGATTTAGGTATAAATTCAAGACTATCTTAAGGTTAGAATACTCTCCCATTCACAAAGTTGATTTAAAAAAAAAAAAAACCCTCTTGCTAGTTCTTCTAAAATAAGTGGCAGGATATTGGATGTGATGCTGAGCTGAAGCACTTGGAAATCTTCAGAGCAGCATCTCAAAAGTCCTGTAAAAGAAGTGCTCATCCTCTTTGAAGATCTCCATGCTGTCTAATTCCTTGTCTTAATTTGTGGTATCAAAAAGTAACTTCAGGCCAATTTGCCACCACGGCCAGTCCAGAAGCCAAGCTCAATGTGCCCATTTAGCCCTTATTTGCAGATGCTCTCCACAC